CAATAATGAGTATGAAGCATCTTTGAGCGTTTTGTTATTTGCTCTAATCACCTCACACTAGAACGACCACTTGGAGGAGCTTCTTCGCGAAGCGAATGGAGAGCTGGGCCAATTACGACGGCGTATCGACGTTGAATTGACTGAAGCAGCGAACGAGCGTCGCGCAGCTGAGGAGGCGCTGGCACGGGCTCACAATGAACTCAGTACACTAACAGACGCTAAGTTAAGCTTGGAAGCTGAGATCCAAGCCTACCGTAGACTTCTTGAGACTCAAGAGGGTGTAATTAATGAAAGCCGTGCTAGTAGCCTCACTCGGGGGCCACACCAATCAGGTCAGACCCGTGAAGATAGCCCACTGCGGTCTCGCTCTGTTAGTCGACAGCGTGTCCTTCCACCAGCGTCGAAGCCAGCATCGTCGATGGGTAGGACATCTCCCACTCAGAATTTGTCTGCTGGACTACAAAGTGATTACATGCGCCCCAAGGCAACCTCTCAAATTCAGCATCAACAAACTCAACCACAGCAGCAGCAACAACAACAGCATCAACAAAAGCATATGATGTCACATGATGGAAGGCAAGCCTTCATGTATTCTCCCCTCAATTATTATAATAAAGAAAGGGAGTTTATTTGCAAATATAATTCGCCAAAAAAATATATACAATGAATTCTTCGTTCAGAAGTAGGCTTTGGAGAATATTAGTGGATCATATATGTGAGATATCAAAAAAGGTATTCCAAAAAGATAATCTTATTCAAGGCGGACTGCAGTTTCGACCCAGCTCAAGTATTATCAGCACCACTTGCACTACCGGGTTTCAAGTCCCGCTGGCAGGGCTGATGAGGCCTAGGCGAGGTCGAAACTGCAGTCCACTCTAGATGATAATGCTTTTTGGGAGCAAGTCTATGCGAAACTCAATGGAAGCTTAGGGCATGCTCTTATCATTGTAGGTAGATTCAACTACCAGTCCCTTATAAACTTAAATAAAATATGGTGAATACATCTCATGTATATGTACAACATAGACGAAAGTTTAGGTTTCTCTTACGCTTAGGCTTTTTATTTTTCTGCCAAGATAACCGAAGTCAGATTCTACATCCAAACCTTAATAATTAATTATGTTTGCACAGCTGAATATAGTAGGCAAATTTCCAATTAAATAATTCAAAAGGCTTTTAATCCAGTTTTATTACAGTTTCGGTTGAATTTAAAAATTAAAATTACGATGAGAAAGATAAATTAATAGCATAAGAACCAGGCAAATTACTATTATTATTTCTTTTCCAAGTGAATAGTGCTTTATCAAAAGCATGCTGGATGCTTTAGGAGGGGATTAAAAGTAATAATGCGGCTAAAAGAGTTGTGACGAGTTTTATTCTGGAAGGGTGCTCCTCATAAAATATACAATTATGACTCCATATCCTAGACTTACTTATTGAACTCAAAAAGTACCCACTATTATTAACAAGGGTATTCACCCTAGTACTTCATAAGATTATAAAGGACAAACAGATTATTTATTTTAACAACGATATGAGTAGGCCTAGAGATACCAATGAATCTCCTATAAAGTATTATCCTCCAGAGTGGACTTTAGTCTCGGCCTCACCTTGCTATCATCAGTACCACTAAAGGGAATCCGGGTAATTCATCGTATATTTCCCAAATGATAATATTGCGCAACAATATCACGAATTCTACTGAGCCACATGTAAGCTGTGATCTTAAAGGCAAGAGAGGCCTATCTTATATCATATTTATTGTGGAAACGTCAATAAGGCAAATATGCATTTTTCTTTATCATGAAATGGGCCATTTATATCCATACTGAATACGTTTCGATACTATCAGCGAATTCTCAGTTACTAGTTACTGACAAAAATAAATGGATAATTAAGTTGAAATTTGTCAACTTTGATTAAAGTTTATGTATGTAGTAGACAATTCGAGTGAAGCTGCAGTGGAATTAGAAAATTTTGCCTTTTAGGTGTCCTTCTAAATGAGGATAAAATAAAGTATGTAGGAACTAAATTAGAAACTACATAAATGTGATTTTTATCAAAAATTCCGTCTCTAATAATGTTTATTAAATCACAGAAATTTATAAGTTTGCATATATCAAAGTTAAGTATATAGGATCAAGAATAAGAATATTTAAGGAAAGTTGTAGTTTAGGACTTATTTTTAATTAATTCAAAATATAAAAAGGAGGAGGAGGAAAAACAGCCACTTAAAGTAGAACAGGGGATCGGAATTTTCTTCATTCACGATCTTGAGGCTACTCTCTTTTCAGTTTTCTAAAAAGATACGCGACCTACCGAGGAATTAGGATTTCAGAATTATGCACAAAAATATACTAACACTTTCGTCCGTCATGCTTTATTAAAGAGAATCTTTCAATCCAGTCTGCACATCAGGTTGTTATAAAACGTACTTTCTATTAGAAAGTGTCTGAGGGGGGAAATTTGTAGACTTATACATAACAGGCTATATAAACATAAAATTGCATATAAAGGTTTATTGCGTATAGAAGCCAAATACAGCTAAATACACCATTAATTTAGAACGTCAGAATAAGTGGTCTAAAATTCAAGGTTTTGCAGGATTTTGAGAATTCATGACTAAGCAAAGGATTAAGGATTGATAGAAATGAACAAGAGAAGTAATAAACTAAATAGGAAGAACGAATGTAAGAACAACTTTTAACTACTAGATAGAATTAGGGAACTGTATTATGAGCAAGGCCCGAAACTAAGTATGTGGAGAAGGCCTGAATAGCCTAGAGTTAGTTTGTGCTCTAACATATAAAATAACTTATGAGCATTGCATACACGTGGCATACATGCATTTATAGAACTAAATTGTGTTTCAAAATTGTATACCCAAGCGCTAGTTTGATTTAAGTTATGGAGAGCAAGATGTTGCGGCTTCTGTTTTGGTCACAGTCTCCTTTCGCTTTATAGTAGTGGTCTGACCTCGTTTTAGCAACGCTAGCTTGTTGTCGGGGCGATATAGTTGGAGTCACCATGTCCGAAATAATCTGTTATAGTAGTTCTGATAATTTACAAAGTTGCACTGTGGACTGGGAATGTACCGAGTCCACGGTCAAACGCTGGGACTTATGCTAACTACTATAACAGAGGACCTCGGACAAGGTTAGCCGAAACAGGTTGCATTGACAACCCGACCATTGGGCTAAAATAAGTTCAAACCACTTCTAGACTCTAGTTTATTTTTTTTAAATATGTCACCACATTCACATCCTTTTCATGCATAAACTCCACTTATCTGCAAGAACCTTAATAGGCATGAAATTACCAAGCAAATCACGTGATGCATCATTTAGATCGCAAAATAAAGTATTATATAAGAGTAGAGTTACGACCGGTGTTCATGTGAATAATTAGCATTTGATGGTTTCTGGCTCTAAAAATGAATACATCTTTGCCTCAGAACGCCAAACAGGTTTTTTCTTTCATGAAATCCTCCTTCGGTTTTTCCTTAGTCTAATTTACGAACACCTTCCACGCGTCTTTCAAATAAAATTTAAGGTAAACCAGCATGTACAAAAGTCTTTGTGAATTAGAAATCGGTACTCCAAAAAATATTCATTTGCATGGCCTTCAATTTGAATAAGTTTTAAAAACATTATTTTGCTCTGCTGATGTCAGCAATGCAAATCATAGTTTGCCTTAGTGACGCAAGAGCATTCATACAGATCTAGTGTTAATTAATGATAAAGGGGATTGACAGTTTAAAGAAAGTTTTGGCTATCTCGATTTGTATTTGCTCTTAAGGCACATATTTATGGAGCCAACTTTTATTATTAGTTAGTTAAAAAGTAATCTGAACTGAATTTATGAAGTTCTTGAGGTCGGCCAAAAAATGCAAACCTCACAGGTCCGTAACCAACCAGGAGCATTACTGATGTTCTGCCAATTGGCACACAATAATCGAGCTAGAATTACATTAATGGTGATAATGTAAGCCTCGTTATCTCGGAATGACACTGTGCTCTGGATGTTAGTACCCTTAAAGCAGCAGGATGTTTAGAATCGAATATAGAAAGGGAAGCTTCAAGAGTAATTTATTGGTAGCTCAGCTTTGAAGTCTTGGGGAACAAATGTAAACTACGGTGATATTCCTTATCATAAAAGCTACTGAAAAATAGAAAATTTATTTACAACAAACAAAGCTATACATTAAGACGAAGCATGACTGAAAATTTTAATTGGCGACATAATCAGAACTAGAACCCATCCTTAAAAAGGCTTTAGGCTATTATTAAGCCAAAGCATATTAAACAAAATGTATTCACCCCATTTCTTTTGAGAT